ACCTTGTCTAGGGTTGACAGAAGGATTTGAAGCAGCAGCTTCAACCCCTTCCGTCAACTCTAGCAACAAGACATTCAAGCTGCCATCAACGCCACCCATGACGATGCAAAACGAAAAAAGATGGTGCAGCTTCTAGCAATTATCTACCTTTTGCTCAAGGGCCATCCAATTAGCGAGTAAGTCTTTGCTGCGGGATGTTGCTAGTAGTACATTCGGCCTCTATATAAGATGAGCAACTTGTAGCCTCCAGAAAACAACGCTCTTGCTGTTACTCAAAGCTCAGTTGAACTGTGGCTTACATACATTCATCTCGTTTGCAGCTTTCCAGATATCGCGGACTTGTTCCGTGCTGCCGGCTGCAAACATATTGGCAGCTTCCATTGGATAGATGATTCTGGCTGGGAAATGGCTGATGCTCTAGGTGCAGTACTAGTAGAGGAGCTCAAACGTCGTGTCTATGCCTCTCCCGTCATTGACTTTACCATCGATGACAGCAATGTCTGTGATCTTACTTAGTATTTGTACCAGGAGATCTTGTTCATCGAAGACGGCGAGCACAGGTTTGAATTCCTCATCCTTCAACCACTCATCAATACCAACGCTATGTCTCTTACCAAAGCACTAATGATGTCTGTTCAAAATGTGTTAGGCATGTCTGGGGAGTATATGGATCTTAAGCTTGTTGCGTTTGACAGTGATGGTGTGTCTACCATGATGGGCTGCCAGTCGAGATAGCAACGGAGCTCATCAGCCAGGTGGATCCCGCCATGTTGCCAGTTCATTGTGCAGCTCATAACATTGCTCTTGTGGGTGGTCTAATCACCGAGGATGCTCTATACGTACAGATTGAGTCAGTCATCAAGGGTGCTTATTTGTACTTTGCTAGATCACCTCAACGTCGGCCTGACTTCAAGTTCCATGCAGATGCTTGCAACACACTCAGGTTGTGCATGCTCCGAGTGCATGATGTTAGATGGCTATCTGTGAAGGGATGCTTGTCAAACATCATCACAAAGTATGCATCCCTCATCAACGCCTTGCGTGATGACATGACCTTCAAAAATTTCAACAAGAAAACCAAGATGGCTGCGGAGAAGCTATATGCGTAGTTCATGAAGATCGATATCATGCTTGATTGCAGGGTCTTCATGCGGCAATTCGAGTTTTTGCAGTAACTCAATGAATTCTGTCAGCAGAAGGATGTGTTGTTTTATTAGCTGCGTGTCCAGGTTGACAACACATTAATGGCATTGAAGTAGTAATACTTAGAGGGCGACAAGATATTCATAAGCAAAGTGTGGAAGGACTTTGTTGAGCTGATTGATGACGAAGACGGTAGCAAGCTTAGTCCGTTGTGTTGGAATGATGATGACACTTTGCAGTTTGACACCAATGCCAAGGAGTATGATGTGCCCATGCACGACATCACCAACACATTTACAATGTCTGGGGCTGGAGCAAATCAGCACACAAAAATCACCATGGTGACTGAGAGCTGCTTTCATGCAGCTCAGGGTCGTGCAAAAAAATTAGCTACAAACACTGCTAAGCTGTTAGTGGCTGACATCAAAAGGAGGTTTCCTCGGGTTGAAGTGCTTGAAGCCTTTGTTGTTTTGAAGCCAGCCTATTGGCTAAAGAAGTCTTATGATGAAGATATTGGTATCAAGCTGAACATCTTGTACAACAGATGTGGAAAGATCATCAAACTGCTTAATGAAAAAGAAGTGACAACCTTGGTAGGACGTACCAAGGTAGAGTTGCAGGTGGATAGCTTCAAGGCTCTTATGCAAAATGTTGTGGAGGAAGGCAGCCATCGGGGCACAACCCAGTCATTTTGGAAGGGTATCCTAGGAAATGACATCCGGTGGGACATATTAGGTGCTTTCTGCAAGTTGGCATCAATTATGTTAGTTATCCCAATAGGCTATGTGGAGAACGAGCATGTGTTATCTGCTATGAACTACATCAAAGACAAAAAGCGCAATCGCCTAGGGCCAAAGCACCTCAATTTATGCGTTCGAGTTAAGTTGTCGTCGTACACAGTGCACAGCTTCCCATATCTAGTTGCGTTGGCAAAATGGGAGGCAGCCAAAGAGCGCCACATATACTAGGAGAAGTTGATAGCCAAGCGGGTTAGACTAGTACAGCAAAGCCACGTAGTACCGTGTCTGACTTTCCTATGTGCAGAAGAATTGCCCTGTGGCGGCAGGGATTTGATGAAAGCCAACCAAACACCACAGCTGGCCGTGACGACAAAAATTTAATGCAATGCAGCCAAAGCGCCTCATGTGGCAGGAACAAAAATAATAAATGGATATCCAACCGCCTTAGCGTGGCGGTTTCAATATCAATTTTGTGGAGGTAAAACACCACAAGTGGCATTTTGAAAATAAGCCTATATGAAACATTGGTCGTGACGACAAAAATTTAATGCAATGCAGCCAAAGCGCCACATGTGGCAGGAACAAAAATAATAAATGGATATCCAACCGCATTAGCGTGGCGGTTTCAATATCAAATTTGTGGAGGTAAAACACCACAAGTGGCATTTTGAAAATAAGCCTATATGAAACATTGGTCGTTAAGAGATCCAGGAATTTCAAGTATGATCTTGTCAAAACATTTGTGAGAAACCTTTGACTCCCAGATTTCATTTTTTGCAGTTGTCAAATGCAGCATTTTGTACCTTGATTTTTTGACGAAGCACTTTCAATTCTTTCAAAACTGTTTGCACAAGATTTAGTAGCTTGTTTTCAGAAGCCATCATGAATCCAACTTTACAAGGTTTTACACAAACTCAAAGCTCTGAATTGATAACTTCTTAAAACCGGTTCCGTTGAGGTTCAAATTTTGCAAACATGTGCGTCCAATTGAAACTAACAACCTCATTAAATTTTAGCTCCAATAAACATTCTAGCGCGAAGATATAACTATCGCAAGATCCAGCCTCCAAAACCTAAACTTAAAGCTCCGAATCGACCACTTCCTTACACCGGCTCCAATGAGGCTGAAATTCTGCAAGCATTCCCAATAAGAAGGTATGGATTTTTGCCAAATTCAAATTCTGAAATTGTAATCATAGATGTTATGTAGTTTTAGAATACTCTAGAAGCAAATAAATGTATGATTTAATCTACGTAGACGACAAGACATGTCACTAATATCTGTATGTGAGGTTGTCATTCTCAAGCCACAACGCACATCACATCCATAACCTTTAATATCATTTATAATCATCTTTGGCTCAACAAGATGTTTGAATTTTGGATACATGTACAATATTCTTTCACATTAGTATTGATAAATGAAGATGGGGTAGTCAAAAAAGAGTAAATGATAAGAGTATGAAGATGTTTGAAAAAAAATACCCAAAAAATTCTGGTATGCAACTTAAAGACACATAATGTAGTTCATCTCAGCAACAACACTCCAATAAATTGCTATGAGTAAAATCATTTAGACATTCCACTTCAAAGTTATATGATATAACTCCATCGCTTAACAAAAAAACTTTAGTTATGTGACAGAAAGCCTTGATTAGTTTTTGTATATAGAATAGATTAAGTATTATAATTAATTATAGTTAATCAAGATCTTAGTTAATTGTTTACAAATTTACTCTTGAATCATCTTTTAAAATATGTAATCTTTGATACCAACATGATTACTTTGTAGAAAAAGCTACAATAAAATTTCAAAGAGATTTCTTTCTAAATTGTAGTTAATTAAGATTTTTGACTTCAATTTCTTAATTAAAATTGAAGTCATTGGCTTGTGAGGTACTGATCTTTCATTTACAATAGCTTGTTCTTCAACTCTTTTGCTTTTTGGATGTGTTGTGTAACTCATACTTACTCCATTATCTTGAGTAGATGTATGTGTTAGGACAAGAGAAGTCTTTGTACTTGATCATCCAACTGGAAATTCCTCTTTAACATATGCCAAACATCTTCCATATCATCATTCTTAGACACTAAATACACGATATCATCACTTACATATATTGTAATTGCCACATAAGCTTTGTTTTTAATTTCATCAGCTAGATCTCGTTCACAAGTATGTCATTCACTGTGACAGTCAAGCTCCTCACCATCTTGATTTTGTTTATCGTCACTTCCCAAAGGTCAAAACGTTTAAGCATGGAGCTCATCTTCAATCAACAAACATGATAACTAAACTTCCCCATCAACTTGTTGATATTTCCTGCATGCATCATCTTGCTATGTACATTCATAATGAAGTACTATGCACAATGGAAAAAATAAACCTCACCTTCGACATTAAGAGAAGAGCTCACTATTTTCACTACCCTAATGTACTCCTTTCTTACTTCTCTCATACTATGTCAAAAAAACAAAGTTCACGGTGTACTTGTTTTTTATATTGTCACATCAATTTTTTATATACAGTTTGCAATTCACACCAGCGAAACTTTGTGAGGTAATCTTAGCTACAAACTACTTCGTTATCACTAACTAATTTGTTTACTATCTCTTGCTCCACAACCGTGTGACTCCCACGTCATGCTTTCACGTAGTATTTTTTGAACATTGCAGTATTTTGTTTAGCAATTTTACTTCAAAATTTTGTTTGATTACTTTGGTTTTATCATTTTGTCATTAAATTTAGGTATTGACATTTTATTTTTGCTGTTTTGAAGCAATTCATGTCAATATTTTGCATCTACTTCTACTTTCGTGTTGTCTATTTTCACACTTTCACTTGAGTATTTTGTATCAGTTATTTAACTGATACAAAGTACTAAAGTGAAAGTGTTCTTTGTTATGTCATAACATTTTTTTCTACATTTTGTATCAAACTTTTGATTATTTTCATTTTATTTTTATATTTTGTATCGGCACTTTGATTTATTTGCAAATTTCATTTTTGAATATTTAATATTGTGATTTTATTAGTATACTTTTAAAATTTTCAAAATGACAAATTCTATTCATTATTTCACTTTATATTTTAGTGATTTAATTTGTTAACGATATTTAATTTGAACGTTTCTGTCCAATCGCTACATATACACAATACAATTTTTCACTATCAGAGGTGCCCTGTGCGTTGATTTGTTTCTGGTTCAATATGGTCCGACGGGTACACCAACGCTCATAAGCCGGGGAAATTTTAATAATTAAAAATTGAAAAAAAATGAATTATTTCCCTATTTAGTGTTTAAATAAATTTTAAATATAAATATACATTTACATTTACATTTTATTTCGAAATTTTTTTATGAAAAAAATATGTTTCAACTAATATCATAGCCACTTATTTCAATTTGCAATATCATATGAAAGCTACAACTTTGATTGGATTCATCAATATTTGAAGATCATCATCCTTTCAACTAATTCAATCAAGAAAAAATTGTAATTTCAATATTATCTTAGTTTTCATAGTTTTGATATAATATAAAACTAATCTAAATCATTTTGCTACTTGTTTTGACTCTTATGCAAGTAGTGACTTGCGTAAGAGTCAAAACAAGTAGCAAAATGCAAGTCTTATGCAAGTCACTACTTCACACGTAGTACATATACATAGTACCTCACTAGTTTTGGATCTTCTTCATTTTTTATGCTTATGTGACTTATGCTCTTTGCCACTTTGCCTCGGGCACTTTGGCTGTGTAATATATTTCGGTTTTTTGTGGGGCAGTTTTCGCACCAAGGCAATATCTATCCTTTAGCATTTTGACACTTTGGTTGTTTTGGAAGTCTATGTCTTTTTCGTTTTGGATTTTCGCTGTATTGGTGCTTTAGACACTATTTTGCCCGCTCCGATGTTTTCGCATTTCAGCTCTTCAATACTTTGACATTTTATTTGGGAACATGGGAGTATGCTTGTAGACGTGATGGTTATCGAATTCGCCCATGATGATATTTTTAAGTGGATGATTATACATCTTGCCGAGTGGACAATCAATGTGTCAGAAGTAAAGGACATGCAAAGATATCATGCAATTTTTCCTCTGAAATTTAAATATTATATAGATCCAAAGGTCAACATATTCATGAAAGTTGGATTGTTGGTATTGTGTTTTTCAGACTTTTGACCCCTTGGGTACCAAGGGCTTGATCTATTTACCAACTAAACACAATAGATGATATACCATTGGTGGCAATATATCAATTTCTCTAGCATATAGTGTAATTCATTCACTCAACATATTTTTATCATTGTAAAGAGCACTAGTTAATGTTAAGACTAACATAACAATCACGGTAGATGATACAATATTGGAATATTTTGTTATAAGTAGAGTATCTGATGTGAATATTTGATATTTTAGATACCAAATCGTATATGTGTCAATGTTATACTGTCAATGTCTAGATCTTACATGACTCGACGGGAAGACCCATCCTCTTTTAAATAATCCATCTTCCGTCGTTGCGCTAGACTCATCGTTTTGTCTCGTCTTCTGTTGTTATATTCTACGGGCCATGCGTGGCTGGGAACCCACGTGGGCCGTGCGGAGAGATTTCACTCGCCAATTTCACTTGTGCTGTCCAGGTTTGCTTGCAGATGCTGGGTCACGCAGGCATGCAGAATACTTCAGAAAGGTGGAGATGAGACAAGGACACAATGTCAATAATATTGTAGTGAACTTTGGGTGCTTGTCTGGCTAGATATGGTGCTGCCATTCCGATTCTCTGAGGGGGCTTTGGAATACTGAACGAGGAATGAAAAAGTGCTGGGAACGGCTCATTGCTGCTGCAGGATATGATCTTCTTGTCAATTACATCATCAACTTTTGAAGATGCCTATGCCTCTGACGTGCAGAGGGCGAAGGCTCGTATCATCTCGTTGCCAACTATATTATCTGTTGCCCCTGGCCTGACAGTCCTGGCCCTGGCTAGATCTCTCTTCTCTTTGCGAATTGGAGATGTCATTGCTGCAGAACATCAGGGATGAGTGATTGATCGAACGAGCCATTCCACATCCCTGCAATCACAAGGAAGGGAGGACGAGCAGCCGCAGCTGATTGATCAACACTGAGAGAGTTGTTAGAGCAGATTGGCTGACTTCAAATTCTCTGCAAATAAGCTCGAAAATATCAGATTCTTTCATCCTCATTCAGCCTCATCTCCCGCGGTGCATCAGCCTCCTCCTGCTGCTGCTGATGCTGCAGGTAGTTTGCTAAAGATCCCAAGTCATAGATCAACCATGGTAGGCCGCCAGTCAACCAGCAAGCAAATAAGAAATGAAATGGAATGCTTTGATGATCAATTCGTTCAGAATCGAGGGCCCACTGCTGTGAACACGATATCGAATGACAGCAACCGTTACAGGATCTCTGACTGTCCCTGGTTCTACATCGAGTCTTATCTGACCTCTCGAAAAGCAGGCATCACTAGTACGACTAGTACCGCTCTTGGCCACACAAAGCCATTGCTAGATGCCCAACTGATACTGCCTTTTCTAACGACTTGATTGGAGGTGCGTTGCACGGCCCACTTTACTGACGGAGATTCGTAGAATGAAACGAACGCATGAGATCCCGTCTGTCGGCAGATAATTGGAAGTCGAAGATTTCTGTACCAGGTTTTATATGATGTTGGCGCTCTCGTCACAACTACCACGCATGAATGACGAACTAAGCATTGAGCCATAGGAATAAAGTTGCAGTCTGGCTTCTGTTATTAAATCGAGTCCTAAGGCCAGCATATTCTTGTACAGTGTATGCCTAGCCACTCCTTCCCGATACAACTGCAAATTCGGAACTATTCTGCATAAATTGCACTACGTTTTGAACTACGAGTCATGATGAGCAATGACCTCTTTCTTTCGTAAGCTTGTTGAATCGAGTTCAGATCTTCCTTCTGACCAAGAGAAATGCAATCTCGATGAGTTAATATCTGTAGGCAATGAGGGTATATATTATCTATCCTCTTCGACTTGAACAGTTCCTTAATTAGTTTCAGAATATCTCAGAATATCTCATATATATTAAGGGATTGACATTTTTGGGTTCTTAAAGTGACTAGATACAAGAACATAAGGTTGTCAATCGAGGAACCATTTACCAAAAGCTGGCGAAAATGAGGAGATGAGTAAACCACTGAAGTAACGTGAAAGCGAATTCCTCTGGTGAAGTTTGTCACGTTGGTCCATAAGATTGAAATGTAATCGCGACACTCCTTCGAGCTGTACAGTACAGCTGTACATGACAGTGAAATTGATGTGACTGATGGTCAACTGCTTTGCAAAAACTTAGAGGTGTCCGTTTGTGAAAGCTGGCAGACATCTCTCACCTTCCCCGGTTCGTCTTATTGCTGTTGATATTAGATTTGAAGATTGAAGATTTGTTGTCAAATCTAAGAAGAAAATTCCTGTTACGCTTGTAGGGAATGGAGCACGTAAGATGAAATTTCTTCGAGCATCCGAGGATTGCAGAAGGATTGACGAAATGAGTTAAACCGAAAAAACATATCATTCTCAATATAAGTGAAATCCACGAAAAGACAGGACGTGGCGCATCTGGAGCCAGAAGTTTAACGATTTGCCTTCCTGAAGCTTCAACAACTTTTTCTTTCCGACGATGAACATACTCGCATTGTCTTTGCAATGCGAGTATGAGTACGATCGTCAACAGGAGGAACAGAAGGTGGTTGTCACCAAGGATTATTAGTCTGTCCAACAATCATGGCTGTGATTTACGGCTCCTGCAAAACAGCAGTTTTGCCGAGCTTTTTCTACCAAGCCTTGGACTCTCCTCCCCCTCAACGTCGCAATTCGACTCCCTTTGCTCATTCACCTAAATTCGCTCGACGGGCTTTCATGTCTCTTGGTTTAAGCTTGTTCATGTCTGGGCAATCTTGGGAGGCTCAAGCGATCGAAGATGTTGGGTTGAAGAACGGGCAGCTGCGTAGCTGTGACGGGGCCACTCCCTGTGTATCAACCTCTGCCTTCCGAAGTCCCAGTCGCTTCATGCCGCCTTGGTCTGTCAGTTCCACTGCCCTTCTTCCACTAGCCTCAGACATTCACAATTACCGAAAGAATTGTGTCTTCACAGAAATCAACACTGCAAATAGCAGCAGCAATGGACTGACTCTGTTGTTCTTTACACGCTGCAGTACTTGAATTCCAAGGACAAAGCATATGACGAACTCTTGAAGGCTTTGCAGAGAATGGTGAGTTTCCGCTGCAAATCATTTTCTTCGATTCATTCGTTCGACTTTTTGATGGATATCTTCCTCTCGTGAAACATCAACTCTTGCCCTTCCGATCGGCCTCGTCTTTTCAAACAACAGGGAGCACAAATCGTAGTAAAGGACGACGACACGTACATCTATGCGACAATAGCTCAGCCGAATGACGTCGACGATGTCGACGATCTCGAATTTCTGTTCGTCGTAAGTAAGCCTAAGCCCCTCACAAACTCCCTGGAGCTTGTGAACTCAAACCCGGTGATTGCGAAGCCACGAATTCGATTCATCAGACACTAGCAAAGCAGTTTGAAGACCGACATCCTCATCACGAAATGGCGGATGTGGATTGCAGGGCAAACAAGTTTGTTACAGGAGTCGCTCGAGAAAGAATGCTCCAGATCCGCCATTCTGCTGGTGGCCGGGCTGCATAAACGGTACGAGCGGCAATTTTTTCCACCCAATGTCAATGTCATGCGATCATTTCCAATCCTTCGCTTCCAAATTCGAAGTCCAATTGAGTCATGTGTGATTGATTGATTGATTCATGGCAGGCCCGAAGAACAGAGGGCGCATGGAAAGGCTGCGCGACGAGCTGGGCTGGATTCCCATGGAGACCGACGAGGAGAAGGTTTGGGTCCCGCTGCTCTTGCACTGACCACGTCGTCCTCCTCCGCCTCGGGCGACGAAGCAACGCCACCATAGTCGCAGTCCAACCTCTACGGTACTGACTTAGTCCTTTCTTGACCGCGGTCAATGAACTACCCCCAGCTGGGTTGGGTTGGGGGTTCCTCGCTCTTTTGGCTTCGTTATTGTATTCTAAATTATTGTTATGATTTGTATTGTGTTTTTCAACCTTTTGATCATTTGGGTCCCACTGCTTATCTATTTAACATTTATTTATTAACGTGCGTGTTGTTATTTGGCATTGATTTACATTCTGCTTCTGACGCCCCTTATCTCTTTGCCGTTGGATATGATTTTCTCGTGGGGAAGTATGTTACAGGAGGAGTTGCGACCACGGTGGCTTTCTATGGTTGGCCTTCTGGGCGGAGTGGATGCTCTGCCAAAAGCCCTTTCCATGTTCTTCAGCTCGAGGTGTTGTGGTGGATGACATATCTCCTCTGATCGTTTATATGATATCCTTTCCTCTGTTCTGGCCCGTGACTTTGACTTTAGAGGTCTAAAGCTTCCTTCCTTATTTTTTACTATATCATCCGATTAGGACTTTTTATCGCCATGGATCGACATTACTTAATTTGTGCTCGTTCGTTGGAAGGATGCTTTCGTTTTCTGAGGGTTTCTTGGTCTTTGTTACTTTGTTACTTTGTTTTTTCCTCTTGATGGCCTCAAACGGTTGTAACTCTACTCACTCATAGTACGACAAGTCTTACTAACCAACCTCATGTTTAACATGTAGACAAAAGAAGAGAGATGTACTTTAATTACCACAATGGAGTTTAATGCAATCCACCTGGAACCTGTTAAGCTCCAATTATGTACAACAAAATCACAGTTATTTTACATTAGAGTATTTGCACAAAAAAATTAGATGAATTGGTGTGTGTGTGTATATATGTATACAATGTTTGATAATCGAGAAGGTTTTAGTGACTTCTAAATAATTGAACATATGCATGGGATTTCTTTAATCCAAGTGTTTCTTTTCCTGCGTTGGTATGTTATTGACAACTTATAGAGATATGCAAATAAATCATAAATCTTCAACTCAAAAAATCTAAGGGATAAAATTTCCTAGTGCGAGCTGAGATGTTAAGAGATTGTAGCTTTATAGTTGAAAGTAGATGGAGTATGATACATGATATAATCATTTTTTCTGTTCTTTATGGCTTTGCGTTTAATCATAAAGCTGCATAAAGCGTAGTGTGAATTATTGTTTTTTATGTGTTGTAGATTTTTTCCCCCGAGAGTCAAGTAATTAATGGGGAAAAGCTGCACGATAATTGCAATGCCACATCGAAATTTATCATTTCTATGTTGATCACACTTCGATGATTATCATACTTAAACAAAACTGGACACACCCTCTAGAGTGGATATGAACATGATGGGTTCTATTCACGAACCTCAATTCTGTGTTGGTATCTTTTAGAGTATAATGATTGTAGTGTATATATATCCAACACATATACACGCAACTTTAGTGATATACACCCAAGAAATACCACGCTATGGTGTGTGCACCCTCTTGCGCAATTACTTGGTATATACGGTTTAAACTGCATGGGTGTGTGTTGGTGTGGTGTATATACACTAAAATCAATATCACCTATCTTTTATACTTCCAAATACATATGATGTTATAAGATTGATAGGATTCCTAGATTAACTATGAACAAGGTTGTTTTCTCCGAAATCTTTTACTTTACCCCACGTGCAAGAATTAGACTTCAAAATATATTGACTTTTGAATCATGTGAATATACTGGATAAAGTTTCCACTTATTAGTATATAGCGTTAACAGAAAAGTGCTAGTCAGATATTCTAGATTACGAACCCTCGAGTGAGATATATATATATATATATAGATTCAGAAAAAACAACCCATTTAGAGTGCAGAAGTTAATAACTGGATGTAGCCAGCATAAACTATGGATTAAGACTGGTTGCAGCAATGTGTGATTTTGGCATATGACTGAGAGTGTAATATACCTTTACGAGAAATTCATCGTGTCCCTATTGCAAATTTTACGAAGTAAACACCAGTCATGATTTATGTCAAACTCATGCACGGAACAATCTCATTAATCCCTTTCGATTAAACTGGACCCGCGGTTAACTGACGCTCCCGAAGACACGCCGTCCAGCTCTCAGTCTGCTGTTGATGAATTACAGTAAGACAAGAATGGGAGCTTTCGGCCTGCAGAGCCTCCACGAGCGATCCTAGAGCATAAGCTGTTAATAAATATACTTTGACCTATCAGTTTTGCTGTTCCTTATGTAATCCCGTCAATCGTGTAGATTATCAAGTAACTTTTACGTTCAATATCTTATTCTACGATTATTTTGTTTATTGGTTTGGTGATGTCAGATTTTATGTTACTCTCCTCATCAGATGATTTATATATACTGGATCAGGTCGATGACATTTTGCCAACTTAAACTAATTGAATATCATTTTCAATTTGTAGGCGTGACCTTCGTGGACTAAAATGAAGTTCTGAACTTTTTTATATTATTTTTTCAAGTATAGATTTTACAGATATGATCAATTATAAAAAAATAAATTACATTGATACATGATTTTCAATATATATATATATATATATATATATATTCACTGTAAATAGATCAAAAAATTTTATCAAAGCATTAAATCTAGATAAAATACAATATCCATATGAAAAATGATACTTCATGAGTGAATTTGTTGATGACATTAAAATGTGATCATGTCGGAAAATACATTATTTCATTTTTTTGTGTCACTGGAATTGTTTAGCATATACTAGCATGCATTCAATGCTAAACTTCTAGTCTTAATGTTTCCTTGTCTCTATTCTTCTTTTTGCTGTATTACTGGATGTATATTCAAAATGATTTACAAAAGAAATCCTCCTATAAATTCCACCATATCTTAAAAGTTATTAGTCTGAATGTTATTCTACTCTAAGAAATCAATATTTCTACTAAATTATCAACATTTTATTGTGAATTTTCTACTAAATTTGATTTTCATGTTGGAAGATCAACTAATTTTATAATATAGATAAAAATTAATTTAAATCATATTCACTTACTTGCAATGGCTTTATTACATTTCGGAATAAGTCTTGTAGTGTGGATTGGTTGAAACAAATAAATATATATTGTGAAGATGAAAATAACACCAGAAGCTATCAGTGAATAACATAAAGGTTTTTCGCTTGGTAGTCGATATGTTGTAAAGCCTAATAATTCTGATATCTCACCCCATTCATTAGAATTGAAATTACTGGTGAAGAATGTATAAATCCTCCTCATTCAAGGACCTCTCCAATCTTAGATACACTAAGGCCTTTGCCACAAACAAAGCACTTGTCGATTAATTCTCAGAACATTGCATCTCAAGGATAAATAAACAGAAACATGCTCATTATGCTTCCACTTCACTGGTTACTTTCGTAGACATGTGCCATGTATGGTTCTAAGTGGGCAGTGTCTCACCTAGATGGATTATTATTGATCATCAAATCAGAAACATGACATCAGATTGAGTTTTCTACACACCATTTCGCTAAATGTAGATAGTACTACCCAACTTAATATCCACGGATGCTCATGACTTAGCTAAATGGAGGACCGATGTTTATGTGTCAAAAATCATTCACTGCTAGAACTACGGTATCACTTCGAGCTTTGTTACAAACTCTAAAGATTGTGCCGAATGGGAGTCCAAGGTGTGCAGAGAATGACTATAATTCTTGGTGCTATGATAAACAAATCATAACATACGTAGCTCTTATTGACCCATTTACTCTGGTGTACTAAGAAAAAACAATATATATATATATATATATATATATGAGAGTATAATATATATAGCCACATCCTGGAGCTTACTGAAGGCTATGCATAGCTGGTGGGACGGGGAGGGGTGCTTTGGCGGTGTAATGGAAGTGTTTGGGTGACGAAGGATGGTATGTTATAATACCAATAATGACAACATGCAGGCGCTTAGAGGCGGGGGGATCATAATGAGGACCAGCGGTCCCTAGGAAAGAAGCACACTCAACTACCGATGGTGAAAAACACGTGTACAGTGGCACGATTTAATCTTGCCGGGATGACGACGCTGAGCCGAGCATGAGGCAAGATGACGACGCGAGACAAGCTCGAGGCTGACGCGGCTGACGGGCCGTACGGAAGGCAAGGGAAGACATCGGGCGCGCACGCGAGGCGGACAACTCGAAGAAGACGCGATGACTTGGACAGTGCACGGCTGACGAAGCTCTCCGGTCCTCCTCTTCCTCCTCCTCCGAGCCTGCAATGGATCGACGAATCGATCGATAACTCGCGCACTCGATGATAATTTCATCGAGCACTCGCTCGCTCGATCGGCCGATACTCGATCGATCCGTCCCTGAAACTCGTCCGGATGGCTTCTCTTCGAGACGAGCGAGGATTTTGTTCCTCAGCGATACGATCCATGGAATGTTCTGCAATGCGGAGGTAAAAGATTGCACGCTGTTCGGCTGATTGTGTCGACGAGGAGGAACGGATTTTGTGATCGGAAGATCCCAATCGCAGTGGCTTCATCGCGATTGGGTGGTTTCGACATCGGGGGATTTCAATACATGAGTCTGACTTGCTTCCTCGCGGGGCGACTGGGTGGGTGCGTGCATGCATGCATGCATGAATGAACTCACGTTGATGGCGGGGTTTGGGATGATCGTTACTACAATCAGGTTTTGATTACGCTAATCAATCGGTGGTTGATGTTGGAAGAGCATGCTTCAGTGAATAAGGCAATCGAGACAGACAGAGCGAGTAGAAAGAAGATCCGCCATCTGCTAGCTGGATGGGCGGGGCTGGAATAGGGGTGGGCATAAATTCATAACATTCAATCGCAAGAAAAGTCGACACACCCGCCGTCCGAGATGATGGTGCGTCGTCGTTGGGTCTCGAACATCGATCTTGGATTCATTCTTTCCCTTAAGATTCGGTGCAAACGAACTCACTCATACTTTGTAAGCCCACCTCATTGCAACGAGAAAGGGTTGGATGAATCTCCCTCCATACTGTACAGAGTATGGAGATGAATCAGATCAATCAGATCAACCACCGGGCAGCAACAGACCTACCTTCCGCCCGCCGCCAATTGGCGTAATTCTCGTGAGTTTTTGTGAAGACACACAGACAGACAAGCCTTAGGTCGGAAGACGGTCAGAAAACCAAATCCATTTCTCGACAGAAGAAGAAGAAGAAGAAGTACCAGAAATCAGATCCAATCCAACCTGCGAGCACGAAAAGTATGGGCCCCCCTCCCTCTCTCCCCCTGCCTGCCTGCCCTGCGCTCTGTCCCGTGTGCTGTCATGGAAGGAAGGAAGGAAGAGAGAGAGAGAGAGAAGAGAGAAAGTAACGCCAAAGAAAGCAGAGTCTGTTAGCAAAATGCTACGGAGGGAGTGAGCAAGAGAGAGAGAGAGAGAGAGAGAGAGAGAGAGAGAGAGAGAGAGAGAGAGAGGCAACGAGTGATGCAGAGTGGGAGAAGGCGTCGGTGACTCTGATTAAAATCAGAAGAAAAAAGAGGAAGAGAAGGACCCACCTCTCCCCTGAAGGCGGGGGAAGGGGGACCGACAGAGGATGGACCACGCCAATCTCGGCTGGGCTGGGGTGATCGGATGCGAGCTCAACATATCTGCTGCTTGCTTGCTGTTCTCTTCTTCTCCAGAACTAGAGGAGGAGGCAAGGAGAGAGAGAAAGGGTGATGAGCGAAGGGAAGGGGAGGGGAGGGGAGGATTAGCCAAGGCTGCTGGTGCCGACATCATGCAAAGGAGATTGAGTTCAAGTTGGGTCGTCTGGAAGGTATTGATTCGTGTGGACAGCTAGATGCTGCTCAGAGGAGGAGGTTGTACGATACACCTTTTTCTTCAAATGGTACCACTACGAGCTACTACTGGTCTCTGTAAGCTGGCCTGTGTGCGTCCGTGCAGAGGCACGACGCTGCTCTTTGGGTTGGGTTTGATTGCTGGGCACTGCTTCAGTGAGCCACACACACCAGAGGAGTGTGGCCCTGGCGAGCAGGCGAGTGGGGAGGGGAGGCAAGCGGAGCGGAAGCAGAGCAGAGCAAAGCGCTGCTGGCGTGATGAGATGTGTGTTTGTGTAGCCAGCTCTGGAGGATGAAGAAGAGTTCACAAGTGGAACTAGAAGTACCTGTCTTCGTCATCCTTTCCTGATTCACTGCCACCAGCAGCCCCACTACGACCACCAGCACTGCTACTGGATGCGTGAATTGCTGCTATCCATCTCTGGAACTATGGACAATGTGTTGCGGGTTCACAAGACGTACCACCTTCGACACTGAATTTTGCTCACAGAATTATGTCACGCACAAAACCTTGGACTCTTCAGCTACTGGTGGTTTATCGTCCGTGCACTTGCGGTACATGATTGAGGCAGATTGTGCATAGGTGTGTGTATCAGAGCAGGAGCGCGACAAATCTCTTTACAGGCGATGCTGACTCGAGAGATACGTTTCCTTTAAGTAATTGTTGTGTGCACTACTTGTGTGGGTGGCACTCGACGGGTTTGAGAAGAGCTCATCGATGAGCTGGTGTCATCAGGGAGAGAGCTTCACCATATCTGGCGGATTCATATGACCTTGCTCTATGACCTTCTTCTATTCGCACGCTGTGCTCTGCCTTGAACGGGGATTCTGACAGCCAGTTGAGATTTTCGGCTTCTCAGGACATATGAACTTCCCTGTCGTGTAAGTTTGCGACTCTTTACCAGCGTACAACTTTCTCTAATGTCAAACGTAGGTGAGTAAGTGGGTCTCAGACCTCAGGAAACTCCATACCACTGTTGGCGTTCTGAGCTGTAGCAGGTTCTTCAAAATCGCACAAGGTTCCCATTGAGTACGCGTTCGTTACTCTATCATCAGGAGCCTCTCGATGTTGGCATGCTTTCTGCTAGACCGAGGATATTTGAGTTTTCCATGCAGCTTCGATCACAACTAGTGCCATACCGAGTGCAACAGAAATACCTCTTTTCCTTTAGTGTGCTTTTTGTCACAATCATCGGAGGTTTCCTCCTTCAGCTTTCTCTGATTTCTCTTCCCTAGACTACATTTGTAGTCCATGAAATTATGCACACTGAGATCCATTTGATATTTTACTGAACTTTCTCGCTGCCGGGTGGAAACGTCAACCTCGTGATGGCTTCGGAATCAGTCCTTGAATGTACAGATAAGATAATCGTTCTAAGATCTTTGAATGCTAGAGCTAAATTGTCAGTCACTTGTGTCAGAATTTTATCGGGCTTCAAGAACCGAGATCGCATGTGGGTGGCAATGGCTGCAAATCCGTGTCATCATCATAAATGGGAAATATTGTCCTCACCTAAGTTTTCTCGCACCTTGCAGCTTTGCGGTGCCGCGATTTGATCGGTACTTACAGACGGAGGGTGAAGTAAGCTCTGGTGGCATGATCGGTTGCGGCAGTGATGGTGCCACCAGTGCAGGGGAAGCAGGGTGTGTATCGGGCGCCGATTCCCCACTACCATACATCGTTGCAGGGCTTGTGGCTATGGTGCTGCTCATAGTTCTATCCATGTGTATTCTGGTCTACTCGTTCTTGAGAAAACATTATGGTTCGGATTCCTTAGAGAGCAATGGAAACTCTCCACAGAATTTGAGATCAGGGCCAAACTATTCGTGGGCACTTCTTCAGCTCAAAGCTCAAGCACTTGCCTTCACTCCAGATTCATGTGAGAGCGATAAGCTCATGGTCATCATGGCAGGTGATGAGAAGCCCACATTCCTCGCCAGCCCTGTTTCTTCCACAGCCCGATCAACCACCCCTCTGGAATCGTTTTGCATCGAGTGCACCAGTAAGAAGTAGGTCTGGACGGGAATTTGGCTCCTGAGAGCTCCGCCTGTACATCCACCGAAATCACAAATCAAAAGCCGTTTTCAGCTCAGCGAATCTGCTCTGAAGTCCATGTTCTTTGCGGACACAAGAGGAAATAAACCGTCAGAAGATTAGAGGGGTTGGAAATGCGGAGGACTGCATCACTTACTCGGTGCCAAGAGCCCGGACCTTTTTCTCGTCCCTCTTCTTGTGTTACAGCAAATTTTTCCAACTTTTGCAACCGTCTACATCTTCATCCTCTTTCCAGGTCTCCCGGCCTGTGCAGATCCAAGCTATATACACGAGATACAAGATGCATGTCGTGCTTCTTTGTCGAACTTTCGTCCAAACAAATTGCAGCAATGCTAGTCGAGGGCGCCATCCATCTGCTGTTTGTACAGTTCAGAGTACGGGATTATTACCAAGTTTACTCTTTTGATGTTTTCTCGCATCTAAAGTAGGTACGCAGTAGCAATACACGAGTCTAAGTGTAGTGTAGGTGGGATAGTCAAAAGCTAAAGCTAAGAGAGATCATGTTCTACTGGTCGTAGAGAGAGACGCTGCTCTACACTTTATCCAGCCGTGTAGACAGCTGCAATGTTGTAGTATCTTAAGGCACTTTTTGTCGAACCTTCAACTCCACAAGTTGTGAATGTCAGAATGTTTTTTTTACACAATGACATGTGTAGATGGAAATCCGCCGATACTACGCATCTCGTGTCTACTGACATGTCTAAATTTCTATGTCAGTCAATAGTTCGGCGGGTGCCTACTGATCACCTTTCTGAGAGTTGATGATGCGATTCATGGGGAATCAAATGCCTTATACATCCTGTGGACCAAGCACTGCACAAAGGTTGTTTATTTACAGGCATGTCATCACGTACTTTCGAGGAACTGTTCAGGAAAAGCGAACAGCTCAGGGAAGAACCTGCTGTTTCCCTGATGGTTGTGTCAGGTGTTGTTGACTACTTTTCCTGATGCTGTTGACTCCTTTATAGGTGCTGGCTGGGGGTCTAACAACAATGTTTCAGGGGTTGAACGACAAAGTAGACATCTCGGCGATTGTATCTTCGAGTAGATTTAGCCTGTAAGGAAAACCTGTCATGGCTCGGCTCGTACGAGTTGTTAAGGTCTATCCGGCAGCAGTGTTGCAAAAGTTCATGAGCGCATTCATGCTCCAAGAGGTTGCACGCTGCAGCCTCGATGCTTACTACCATCGGTAGGTGCTATGACCGATGGTGGATGCCAATGTGATCTTCTCCACAAGATCACATTCGTGGGCGACGTCCACCTCTTTACTCGGTAGAGTGGGCAATTTGTCACAGAGCATAGAAAGGAAACCTGAAAGAGATAGAAACACAGAATGCTCGACGAACATGCATAATTACGTTCCCGGTATTGGGGAGCACTCTGTCGCTTCGGATCCGGGTTGTTTGGGACCGTTTTCTCTACACCATCTCATTTTCCCTAGAAGACAATGTCGCAGAATATGTCTGCTGAGTAACGGACGCACGGTCTTTCTCTAGCAGACAGACAGTTGGACACAGTCTGTTCCAGGGCCACCAGACATTTTAATAAACGGTGTTGTGAGCATTTGAAGACTTGCGTGTCCAGTGTTCACGTCTGGACTGTGCGCCTGCAGATAATATCCTCAGTTCATTGTTCGCCAAGTGCCTGCCTGTCGTCGACCAAATGTACGCGTCGAGTATAGTGAATAGTTTAGTTCAGGCGTCGTACGAAGGCTCGTATAGTACTCCACGCATCAGCACATCAATCCAATGACACGGACGAAGTAACACCCGTGGGGAGAGGACAACTCAATGAATAGAAAAATACGATTGGAGACAAGCGTTGAAGAATTCAAACAACACCACTCGGCTTTATTCAGCAATTGTTCCAAAGGCTATCAAGTGTACATGTCTATTTCCAAAATTGCGAGAATTCGCCATACCCACGATTTATGGACAAACCAAAACATAAACTCTTTTCAAATTCTCTTCTACGTTCAGTCCAGTTCTACTGTATCTACTTAATTATGTGGGTTGTATTCACGGTAATTCGGACAGGCAGCATGCCTTGCGAGCGCCCTGCATGCTACCAAAATGAATTGTGATTACTAAACTATGTACACTTATGACAAGCGTCTTATCCCGACTGTCTTACTGTACAGCTCCGAGGAGCAAACATCTCGCATTTACATGCCTCTGCAACGCTCTTTCTCGTATAGAGTTTCACTTACCGCATGGCAACATCCCATTCCTCCCAATTGTAGTTTTAGTCGTTCTTAGTTGATTAAATGAGTGCCTTCGGGAGCCAAAGGAGCCAAGAGCTCCCCTCGCCAGTCTCACATCAGGGAGCTTCATCACTTCCCTTCCACTTGATAACTGTAGTCCCAGTTCGGAAAGCTCTTCGACCTGTTGTGAGAGGTCTTTTCGGCGTCCTTGACGACTTGTGGAGGTGGCTTGTCACCAGGAGCTCGGACCGGAAAGCTGGAAAGTCTGCGGACCATACGACCTTTCGGTGAGCTTCGAGCCCTCGTGTACAGCTTTCCAGCCAGCCCAGGCAAGGTTGGAGCATCGTCACTTTCTCCCACTCCTGGTAGATGTAGATCTAGTTTGCCATCACCGTCATCTAGATCGTCCGACCAAAACACATCGTCCTGTTGCTCGCTTACTGGATAGTCTTCAGCGTCTTCATCGGATCTGATGCTCTGGTCGTCCACAGATCCCTGGGAGCCGCGTCAAGCACACCTTTAGACAGCTTGTGGCAAGCACCTTGTCAACTTCCCCAACTCTGTCAACCTTGCCGGCTCTAGCAAATCGCTCAACTGGAAATTCAAACCTGGAGAACTCCCGTCACAACAGGGAAGAACGTACCTCATCATCGTCATTGTTGTCACGGCCACTTTCACTAACTTCTCCGTCGCTATCAGCTCCTTGTTGTTCCTCCTCTTCGGGCTCTTCATCGCTTCCAGATACCACTACGTCTTCCGTAAGCTGCAGAATCCATACACGGCAGCTAATGATGTAAACAAACTCTCTTATACTGATTTCTTTCAGAAAACAGGCTGTCCGACAGATTGTGCGCACACGGAAGTCCATACACATACATAATTGTCTGCGTGAGGGCAAAGTCCAACATCTGCCTCTATCATACCTCTTTCTCAGCTCCATCGCCATGCCTGGGAGAAGTAGAACGCCTGGGCGAACTAGAACACGAGGAGCCGGGACGGCTGCAATTTTGATCAAGTTCTCCTCGTGAGCTATGTCCGTCGCCACTGCTATTGTAACTAGGTGCATAACTCGCAGCACCAGTATCGGTTAGCCAGGCACTCAAACCCAAATTGCCAAATTGCAGGTGCACGGGCTCTGCTTTTCCTATGGCAAGGGGCCCGTACACGGGAGTTCCGACCCCGCTATCACCCCCATTAGATGATGCAACCTTGCCATTACTGTCGGATGGAATGGGCCAGGCTTTTGCGACCGATCCATCGTTATTCATCAGGGCCATCAGATGTCGGGATGATCCTCTCCTCTGAATGAGCTGGAACATGCCCTTGGACCCCAGGGAGGATGCGGCAGTCTGGTGCTTGTACTCTTGATCCACGACCTTGACCGTGTTCGTTCCGGGATCAAGCAGAGGTTCTCCTCCCTCTCTTCGTCGCAGGGAGCTGAAGATCGTCGCATGGATGAGCGCGATGCTTTTGTCGACGTTGGTGTTGTTGACCTTGGGCACCAGATGCTTGTCGGCTCTCTTACACAGGTAATCCTGTATGGTCCGAATGTTGCGAATATACTTGACATACTTGTTCTTCGCAGGATCCAGAGTCATGTACTTGGCCCGCACTGCAAAGCGCTCCAAGTGCTTATCCTCGTTCGATATATAGACCATGAAAGGCACTATGGAAGGATGCTTCTTCATGAGTCCCATCTGTTCAGTTGACCACTCGCCACGGTCAACCACGGCAACTTCAAGGGTGACAAGACAAGACGATGACAGGCAATCAAGGTCGTATACAGCGGCAGAAATTTCAGGCCGGTCAGCCATTCCGTGTACTGACTGCAATGATTCAGCCAGGTTCTACTAGACTCGGAGCCCGAGTCCTCGGAAGAAAGGCAGCTGCAGAGTGCAGAGGACATGATGTCTGACTTCGGCAACCGGATGAGTACTCACCACAAAATTCAGGCTCAGGTGGACACCTTCGACGACCACGGACTCGTTCTTCTGCTCCCACGATGTGATGAGCCGATCCAAACTGTCGATAACCATCTCGCTCTGCGCCTTGAAACCCTGGACGGCGAGGGTCTTCGATCCCACCATCGCATCGCATCCATCGTGGTAGGCAACACCATCGGCCAGGGACAAGCTCTCGGGGGAGCCCTCCTCCAGAGGGCTTTTGTTCTTGTGATCCGGGGCAGCCACGGACGATCCGGATGACGACCCGCCGGATCGCGCTTCGAAAGACGAGCTTCGATGGGGAATGCTTGTCGTCTTGGCTTCTTTTTTTTTTGCTTTTGCCTCCGCGATGGCCACCGGGTCCAAGCACTCTCCCGCATGATACGTGGAAGCCCACAGCAGCGGATTCTCTTTCTCGCTCACAAAGCTTCTCATCATGTGACGCACAGAATCAGTCGACACCACTGTAGTGATGCCGAGCCTACTGGCCTGTAAAGTGGTTGGCAAGGGCAAGAAAAACATTCAGATTCCACGAGATTCTACCAGAAAAGTGGTGTCGAAGTTGGGTTCGGTATGAAATTAGTAACGGACATTGTCAACGACCAATCTAAGGCACGCCATAAGATAGCATAGCATCGCGAGGGAGCAAGGGACGGTGGGATGGTGGGAGGACATCTATATCAGTCCGTCCAGCGCAAATGTCGTGACTCTGCACGCTACGGCTACTTCACATGCAAAGAAGCTATGATGCAGAGGAGCAAATGTCGACGCTGCAAAGTGCGTCTTGCATCAGGTGGACGTGTACCAATAGAGAAGACAGAGTCGACTTCCCGCATCCGCTTGTGCCACAGAGCAGAACCGTGACTGATGTCTTCTTCTCGCGAACTCTGTACGAAGGGTGGACAAAAGCGCACATTTCCGTCAACCAGTGAAGCCAATGTACAAGAAATTTTATTTATTCAGAACCCGACCCCGAGTTTACAACGGCAGCAGCAGACGAACATAAACACGATGCTTTTCAGGAGTTAAGATACTGCGCGCTCCAATTTCCGGAGGGAATGAAGCCTGAGATCAATTCTGACATACCTGCATGCGAGCATGAGGTCCGCTCTTTGGTTAGGCCCCACATACTGGTAATCGGCGAGCGCATCGCAGACCACGTCCAGGAACTTCTCGCGGTTCACGGTAACTGACGCTCGTTTCTTGGTAGGCTTACAAGTTTTGTTGTTGCCCGGGAAGCTTTCGACCTCCTTCAAATCCGAGATAATGGTATCCAGATCGGAATGCTGCTTCTCGATGACCTCGTAAGCTTGAGACAAGGCTTCTGCTTCCGAATGATGTCTCCGTATTTTAGCTTTCTTCACCGGCATCTCATTTCTCAGAAACTCGAAGACTGAGTCGCTTATCTGCCACCGCACACAACAAGTGAGCAACCACGATATCTCAGACCCTGTGTTTTCCGCTTCGAACTTATTTCACGCAGGTATTACAATAATACATAAAGATCACCCAGAGCATACATCTCTCGCGAGCTCAGGCCCACCGACCAGAATATACAAGGATTTCTTTTTTCCCTCGCATTGCAAGCGAGTAGCCTGAAAAGTCACTTGCTGCAAACTTTTGACTGCAGCAGTGATCTCAGACAGCAATGGCCAAAGAATTGAAAAAAGAAAAAGTATTGACTACTGAGCCAAATCGCTCGCCTCTCCCAGACATCCCTGAGCCATGACAATGACTAGTTACGAACAGTGCGACAAACAACAAATTGGGAAAAACTAAAATCAAACAGGTTGAATACAGAAATTGAATACAGAACTAACCCGCACGGTTGAAACTCTGACAATCAAATTCACAATGTGAAGCGTAAGCCACAGAAAAACTAGTCGACATCATGGACTCACGATAAAACAGCAACTGCATCGAGATCAACGAGAACTTTCATGGAACACTGTGGCGTAAGCTACACACGTCGAGCGTTAGCAGAGAACACGTACACACGTTGACCGTCACTAAAAGAAATCGAACTACAGAGCACGCCGTTCTCTACAGAAGGGGACTCGGATTAGGACGAGATTGCGTTAAATTCGAATCGTCGGGCTACCTTGAATGCGTGGCGAGGCTTGCATCCCATAAGCTGCAGGGTACTCTGAAGCACGGGACGAGTGTAACGAGGGGGAGGCAATTTCCGAATGCTGCAATTATTTTTTTCCGCTTTCCCATCCGCAGCGACCTCGTCGTCGCTGAGGATAATGTAGAGCAATTTCGGCCGCTCCGCCATGAGAACAATTGGGATCTCACACCGCCCGGTAAAAGTGGCGTCAACCCACCAGACAAGTCCACATTATATGCTCGAGACTAGCTGAGGCTTTCGGTCGACATGCTAAACCGGGAAAGATTTATCTTCTTCATCGTCACCAAACCCCCAGAGACTCCTCGGTGCGTGTGCTCCAATGTACGAGGAAGAGTCGTCACGACGGCGTCGTCCCCATCAGTCTCTGTCTCGACCTCAAGAACCAAATTATCGCCAATCAATTCGCACGAAGTACTACAAATAAGAGCAGCAGCAGTAGCAGCAGCAGCAGAAGAAGAAGCAGTACCAAAAACTACGGCATCACGAGGTGAGATTGAGATTGAGATGCTGCCATTCCGCCTACGTCCTCCGCCGCCTCCTCCTCCGACGACCACTACTTCTACGACGACACCACCAAAATGCGCATCCTCACAACCAACGTAACAACTCGGATCCACCACGCCCATCACTCGATCTCTCTGCCGTCTCGCCTCACACATCGCACTTTTTCAATCGGCCCTCGTCGCGGACTCGCCCTCGGCCTTCTCCGCCTCCTCCCATCGCACCACCCCGCCTCCCAGCCTCCCTCCTCCTCCTCGCATGCCGCCCCGCGCTACGACGACGTCCAGCGCCCCAATTGCGGCCCCCTCTCTCTCTCCCTCCCTCGGCGATTGTTCGCCTTGGCGTCGGACTTCACTTTGCGGCTAGCTCGCCATCCCACGGGCTTTAGTAAGCTCGCTCCACTTGTGCCAGTCGTCCGTGCAACAGCCAGGCACGGCCAGGCGAGGCAAGCACCCGCGCCCCTCAGCCTCCCTATCCCGCTCCCCTATAAACACACGATGCGCACGCCAATGCCGAGGAAGATGCAGACAGCAGCAGCAGCAGCAGCCACCATCTCCAGCCCCCGCGCCTCCAGATGCAGAAAGCCAAACCAAACCAAACAGCAGCCAAACAAGAAAGCCCCAGGGACGAGGACGAGGGAGACGTTGAAGAAGAAGAAGAAGAAGAAACAAGAAGAAGGCTGAAGGACCAACGAGCGAACAAGCAACAAAGCCGCAGGAGTCAAGTCAAGCCAAGCCAAGCGAAGGAAACGGGGGAGCAAGACGAGCCCGGGGAATTAAGTCAAGTCGACCCCGGTCTGCCCGGTCTGCCCGATCTGCCCGGCCGTGACTTGGCAGGCCGGGGCTGGGGCTTGCTCCAGTACGGTATGGAGCCCACACGCGCCTCCGAAGCTACGGACCTTCTCGCGTTCGCTTCCTTGCCTGCCTAGAGCCTAGGCTAGCGTAGAGTAGCCTAGGCGAGACTAGCAAACCCCGTCTAGAGCAGCCTAGCCTATAGTAGAGCTGCTGCTGGCCTAGGCAGGGACTGTGCAGTGCAGTAGGCGTGTTGCGAATCCGCGTCATGGCTTGCGAATGGGCGGAAGAGGAAGAGGAAGGGGAAGGAACGAGAGCAGCGAAGGGACAGGCAGGTGCGCATTAGAGTCGCCCCCTCGACGACTTCATGTACAGTACGTACTAAATTCCTCTGAGTACTGAACGTCGCGCAACGCTGGCCCGGTCGTCTCGTCAGCGCGAGGGTGAGCAGGCAGCCGTCCGTCCGTCCGTGCACTGACTGATTTGCCACTGCGCTGGTCATGCTCATGACCCTGCTTAGGTCAGGACTCGGGCCCTGTCCCGCTTGGGGACGTAATTCGCCCGGTTCGCGCATGCCAGCGTAGGTACTACTACTTGCCTCCCGTCCTCACAGGGTCCGCGCGCCCGCCAGATCCTGCCGCAGGAGCACGATGCGTCTCGTCCCGGACTCGTCCCTCTCCCTTCCTGAATGTTGGGCGTCGCACCTCGGGATTCGGGACTCGGGACTCGTCGCAACAGTGGACATTTCCCTCGCGTACAGCGTACCGCCACCGCGGTACGCAGTTCTGCCAGTTACGCTCGGCCTGTCCGTCCGTCCGCCAAGTAGATTTTTTCGCCTTCTTGTCTCCTCTCGCCCCTCCCCAAACGCTCTTCGTTGCGCCAACTCCACGTTACAATATATCGAATCATTATATTTTCCCGGACCCTCCCATTCAAATCGCCCGGCCCGACGTCCGCGGTACTTCGGGCGTTCGAACCGCGATCGCGTCGCTCGGCATGCACGCTCCGGCACGCCAAGTGGAAAGAGGGTTGTAACCGCGAACTGTGAACCGGTCAAGGACGAAGAACCCGGTGGCACTCGAACGAACTGCGCACAGTCGGTCGCCTGCGCGCTTTCGGTGATGGATATAATTTCTAGGACTTTCGATTACGACCGCCGTAAGTACAGTTTACGTGGTAATGACGGTGTTGTCGTATTGCTTCGTTACTGGGATGTAGAGCTCGTTCCTGATTCACATGGTTCTTCATTCTCTCTGGAATGTCTTGTCTTTACGCCCCGCCAAGTCAATAGATGTGATCTGTGGCCCGGACGTATGTGTGAATGGATGGATAAGTGGATGGTGCTACCTGAATTCTGTGTTGTGTGCATGGGAGGGGAGGCACTGCGAGAGCCGCAGCGTCGAGTAGAGTATTTCCAGGGGCTGGTCGCGAGTTTCGAAGTCTGAGACTCGCGGGTTCACGTGGCGAGTCTCATGGGGCTCGGATCGGCAGCAGCGATGGTCTGGACCGAGGGTACAGTACAAGTACCACATACGTGTGCGGTCTGTGAACCAGGACGGTCACGACTTCGGTGCTCGACAAATCCACATCCCTCTGGTGGCGCACTTGTTGCTGCCCATGTTAAACATGCCCCGCGCGCAGGGGGGCGAGTTTTTATATTGCAGGCGACCGATTCAACAGGCGGATCCTACAGTGGGAGCCGATGTGCATCCGTCTGCGAGCCCGGCCAACAATGCATCTCCATCTGGTTCTGGAGTGGAGGAGTCAGTGGACTCCTCGTCTGCCGCTGAACGCGCATGGCGAGCGGCTGGATGGTCCAAGGCCCATTCTCGAATCGAGGCTCGTCTGTTAGTGGCGATGTCGAAGTGCATGTTGGAATCTTCTCCGCCTTGAATACGCGCAGGTCCGGCCATTGCCGCATCAGACAAAGTTTTTAGTAATGTTTCTGCCGTTCTCGCGATCGGCCCGTCCTTATTAGTGCGCATCTTTCAACCGCGTACATGCACCGGCAGTCATCAGCCCCGCCCCCTGTCGCTGCATGGCTGGACTCATTGCCTGGGGTCTCGAAATCTCCACGCTCTTCTTTTCTGGGTTTGTGCTTCGATCTGAAACCAGCGTTGCCTCAACCATGAGATAACATTCTTTTGGACGTGATTCTTCGAACTTCATCGACGATGAACCGATACATTACTGTAATCGCCAATAATTCATACAATATATGAACGTATGAGATTTCTATCCCACCTAACGTCGACGAAAACCTTATCTTCCCCATCCACGCAAATATTATCCTCATATCAACTGCAGATTGATATATCTGACACTGATTAAAATACATGTGCAGCAGCACCAACTATTAAAAATCCACCAGTCCATGACCGACGCCTCCAATAGCACCGATCTGTAGGTCTGAAAAATAACTGAAGAATAATTTTCATCGGTTAGGAGTCATAGCTAATAGCGGTCAGAGGTTCGTCAGTTCTTCCGCTTTTATTCCTACACGAAATGCTGAACTGACTTATTGAATATTGCCGTCAGGATTAAGAGAGGAAAAGCATACGATAGAGTATATCATTGCAAAGAGCACAAAGGATGGAATAACTAAAGTGCATCCAGCCAGTAGTATGAGTTCGAAAACCAATCAACCATGTTCAATTTGTACCTGAAAACTTTTCATAAACGGACCTCCAATAAGCGGTTTCATTAAACAAAAATGGTAGAACACACACACACACACAAATGGTAGAACTGCTTCTTTAATCTCAATTATCATGAACGTTCGTTTACAGCTTGTTGAACATGGCGTGATTGGATAACTTTGTAAATTTATCATCTTATTATCAACTGGACTAGGTGATTCATTCCATATTGAAGCATTTTCCTATATTGTATTTGGAATCAATATAGAGAAGTAAAATTTGAAAATTGAATTTTATGAATCAAGATTACAAGTTGAAAATCATTCACCTCCCAAATAACACATGATTCATCTCAGCGCAGCTAGATCCACAAAACACAGAGTTTCTTCAACTTAAACCTTCGTGTCACACAGAGTTTCTGCCAATTATCTTACAGAGTCGTCCAAGTCCAACTATTTGTCGTCAAATTAACCTAAAGTCAATTAACACTTGAGCTAACACATAACAAAATAATGTGAACTTTATCTTTAAATTTTTCCAATACCTTGATTCTAAAAGTAGAAAGTAAAAGCATGTGAATAGTAAGAGATTGGAGCAGGTGGAACACATCTCATGGATGTACGTGCTTGAAGAAGCGTATGCGATCATTGTTGATACCAAGCAAGTAAATTTCCCAAAGAACAGATATCAATATCAGTTATCAATAGTTACAAAAGCATCAAATGTCTATATTTTTTATATTTAAACAAAGTAAAAAGAAAATTAAATTTATGGACATGGTTTATTTAAATATGACACCATGTTTGGTGTATTAGATGAAGTTTTTTAAAAATAAAATAAAATATGGTTGCAGTGATAAAAAAATATAATTCAAAAAATGATGATTTTTTTTTCTAAACAATAAAATTTATAACATGTAATTAAAAAATTTCATAATTATTTTCATACTACAATTTAATAATTTCATTTTATAATATCATTTAAGATCATGTAATTTTTGTGGGTATATATATATATGCATTAAAATTCATGAAATTGATTGTGTTTCTTCTTTATATGATTTAATATATAATTAAACTAAAAAAAAAATCCAAAACTTGACTTTAAATTTCACAAAATGTACGTATATATTTTAAAGCAACTAGTGTTGTAATTTCAGTTATGATGTATATGTATCGGGAGTTCTCAAGCATTGCTTCATGACTCTAAGCTTTGATTGGATTTGATGAAAAAAAGTATGACAACTCACTCAAAACAAAAACTTACAAGTTCTTTCATGTTCAAATTGCAAAGTATATTTTATTCTCAATAGCAATGTATGAATATATCTAAGTTCAGTAGCAAGGAGATTGATATTCATGATGATCTCAAACATATTTCATTTTATTAATGTACTAAATTCTTTTAATATTATGTGTATTTAAGAATAGCACTTCAATGAAACATTGGAAACAAATTCTTAGATTCACATTGAGTATTGACAGTAAATTGATTGAGAATAAAAGTATAGTGAGCAATGAGAGTTGTAAATTTTGGTGATATAATTTTGATAAATTAAGATGAAATATGATATTTGAACAAAATATGAAGTTTTGATCATGTGAAATCATCAATAATATAACAAAAAATTGAATTTATTCAGATAATATAATATTATATTATCTGAATAAATAATTGATGAAGATTTGATTATGTTACTTTGAAATTTTTAACATCAAAAAATTCAATAATATTGATGAGTTCATAAAACTTTGATATCCGTTCTTGAAATTCCTAACCGAGTCATGATGCAAGCCTTCTTATCTATAAATTTATAATATCATAAAACAAATCAAAAAATAACTTTCATCATAATATTTGTTACCATAACTATTCTTTATCATCAATAATTCAATGTCAAACTAGGTAGGTGTGAGTGAGAAAGAGTTACACAACAGCAAATGACACAAATTACAATAGTCACATAGTTAAATTAGACATCTGGTAAGAAGAATTATTACTTACGATATGTATTTTTGTAATTGAATTTTTTTGAAATTAACATTTGAAACATGTATATTGTGATCACAATTTAGGAAAGAATTATGTCACATGCTACCAACCATGCATTACAATTTATAGAAAAATATCAGTAATATGGTATGACTAAGAATGAGATTTTTGATATTGTTGAACATGCAAAAGTTTGATATCGTATTGTAAAAATTAAAATACAATCAGGAAGATTGAGATGAAATAAAATTTATTTAGCTTAATAAAAACTTGTTTTTCATGAAATATTAACAGATTCAAATATATTGTTACAGTTCAATTATCATAATCTCTTAATACATATTTCAACAATTAATCTACAATCTCTCATACATTTACAAGCTTCCAAAGCAACCTAACTCTTTAAGTTATTTATACATTCATAAAACAATCATCTATGTAGAGTTTTAATTGGATTTTTAATTACAAAAAAAGCTTTTGATTATGTATTTATTTTCTAAAATTATGCATGTAAGAAAATATTATTATTTCAAAAAAAATATTATGAAAAAATCTTGTGATATTTTTTCAAAAGTCATATCTTATCATTACTTGCTGCAAAACAATACACAAATATAAAATATTAATTTAAAAAATTAAATCACTGATTTAGTTTTTTGGCATGTTTAACCAAAAGTATCCCTCGGAAACCCTCAAACCCCCAACCAAATCACAAGGACGTAGAACTAGACGCAAAAAACTCGCCTTATCCTTGAAGATGGAAGGTGTCAGCAATACCTTTGTACATTGTGATGTGAATTCAGCGTGTGTAACAGTTGCGTAGTAAAGTGTCAATTTGAATTCGAGGTTGAATTCGAACAAGGGCGTGTGCGGGGCCGTTGTCAATCAGAGTACTACAAAGTGACGGTACCGTCTACAACAATATGACACAATTTGTGCAGCGGGTTTCCTTAAAAAGGCCACCGCTCGATGTTACCAATCAGCTCTTGTGTTGACTAGCAACTTCACGATGCAATCATCTTCTTTAAACACGTTACTGCGCGAGTATGTTAGTAGGGGAGATTCAATTTTAAGAGCCTGATCGAGTCACATAGTCGCTGATAGCACCAACCAAATGCGTGCAGCGTGCGTTCCATATGCCTTTTGATGTACCCTACTTTAGTCCAAGTGCCATAATGTGAGTGTCAGTTATTAGTACAAAAAGTCTAGTATCAAAGTTTAAAAATAACATCATATCAAAATAAAAAATTTCAAATATTATATTTACGTAAATTATTATTTTATATTTTTATTTTATATAGAAAATATTATTATTTTTAATTTTCATGTATAAAATCAACAGAATTATTTCAATTTTTTTTCAAGTTACAAATAATATTATTCTGATGACCAAAATTGATTTGAATAAAATTTATGTTTTTAATTGATTACAAAATTATTGAAATACTTTTTTGCAACATTATTATAAAAAAGTACCTTTTTGCATAACATATGATGATACTTGTAAATTATGTGGCAAAATTGATATAGATCTTAGTTATAAATAGTATTTTTTAAATTTGACATTGTGATTTTTAATATTTTAAAATTAATTATTATTTACATTTTAAAAAATGATAAAAAATGGAATTTATAATCAAAT